GGGGGGGGGGGGGGGAGAACATTTTTGTTTTGTTTTGTTTTTTTCATTCGAAAGAGGGGGGAAATGGTGAATTAAGAAGGGGAAAAAAAGGCAGAAGCTGAAGGAAAAAGGGGATAAAACCCAAGGGAAACGGGTTAAATTGTCAGAAAAGTGGAGGAAAAAACCAATAGAAATAAGAAAAGGGGCCAAAAATTGAGAAATGAAGGAAAAAAGGGCAACACCGAGGAAAAATGGAGTCAGAAATCAGGGAAAAGGGGAGCAAAAATGAAGAAAAGGGGGTAGAACCGAGGGGAAACTGTCAGAACTGAGGCAACACCGGGCAAATGGGATGAGAATTTGGGTGAAAAGGGGGCAGAAATGAGAAAATGGGCCACGCTGAGGAAAAAGGGGGCAAAAATGGTGGACGATGCACAACGGTGAGAAAAAACGGGGTCAGAAATGAGGAGAAAGTGGGGAAACTGGGAAAAACAAATAAAATGTGAGGGAAAATCCGGGGGAGGGGGCAGAAATTACAGAAATCAGGCAAAACTGAGGAAAAAGGGGCAGAAAATGGGCAACACTGAGGAAAAATGGGGTCCAAAGGAGGGGGAAAGGGGGTAAAAATGGGGAAAAAGGGTAAAACCTGAGGTAAAAGGGGATAAAACGGGCAAAACCAAGGGAAGAAGAGGGGGAAAAAGGGGATAAAGCAGGGGCAAATCCTGAGGGGAAAAAGGGGGCAAATCCTGAGGGGAAAAAGGGGATAAAATTAGAATAAAACTGATGAGAAAAAAAAACGAGAATAAAACCTGGAGTGGGGGGAAAAGCTGAGGGGAAAAGAGAGCCAAAACCTGAGGGGGAAAAATATAAAACCTGATTAAAAAAAAGGGTGGGTAAAACTGAGGGGAAAAAGGGGGCAAAACCTGAGGGGAAAAATGGGATAAAAGCTGAGGGGAGAAAAAACGAGTGGTAAAACGGGACTAAAACTGAGGGGGGAAAATCCTGAGGGGGGAAAAATCCTGAGGGGAAAAGAGGGTAAAATTAGAGTAAAACCGGAAGGAAAGGCCTGAGAGGAAAAGGGGGATAAAACCCAAGAGGAAAAAGGGGATAAAATTACATTAAAACCGAGGGGAAAAAAACGAGAATAAAACCCAGAGTGGGGGGAAAGCTGAGGGAAAAAGAGAGACAAAACCTTAACAGGAAAAACATAAAACTTGAGGGAAAAAAAAAAAAAAGCAGGTAAAACCTGAGGGGAAAAAGGGGGCAAAATGAGAGTAAAACCAGGGGGGGGAAAACCTGAGAGGGAAAAGGGGCTAAAAGCTGAGGGAAAAAAGGGGGCTAAAAGGAGAATATAACCGCAGGGAAAAAAACCTGAGAGGAAAAAGGGAATAAAACCTGAAAGGAATAAAACCTGAGGGGATAAAATTACAGTAAAACCGATGAGAAAAAAAACGAGAATAAAACCCAGAGTAGGAGAAAAAACTAAGGGGAAAAGAGAGACAAAACCTGAGGTCAAAAAACATAAAACTTGAGGAAAAAAAAGGGTGGGCAAAACAACCTGAGGGGAAAAAGGGGGCAAAATGAGAGTAAAACCAGGGGGGGGAAAACCTGAGAGGGAAAAGGGGCTAAAAGCTGAGGGAAAAAAGGGGGCTAAAAGGAGAATATAACCGCAGGGAAAAAAACCTGAGAGGAAAAAGGGAATAAAACCTGAAAGGAATAAAACCTGAGGGGATAAAATTACAGTAAAACCGATGAGAAAAAAAACGAGAATAAAACCCAGAGTAGGAGAAAAAACTAAGGGGAAAAGAGAGACAAAACCTGAGGTCAAAAAACATAAAACTTGAGGAAAAAAAAGGGTGGGCAAAACCTGAGGGGGGAAAAAACCAAGTGGTAAAACGGGACTAAAACTGAGGGGGGAAAAATCGGAAAAAAGGGGACTAAAACCGAGGGGGAAAAGGGGGCAAAACCCACAAAAAGAGGGGTAAAAGGTGAGGGGAAGAGAGTGTAAAATTAGAGTAAAACCGGAGGGAAAGACCTGAGAGGAAAAAGGGGATAAAACGGGACTAAAACTGAGGGGAAAAATCCTGAGGAGAAAAAAGGGGGGGAAAAATCCTGAGAAGAAAAAAAAGGGGGGGGGAAAATCCTGAGAAGAAAAAAGAGGCAAAAGCCACAAAAAGAGGGGTAAAGCTGAGAGGAAAAGAGAGTAAAACGAGAGTAAAACTGAGGGGAAAAACCTAAGAGGAAAAAGGGGATAAAACGGGACTAAAACTAAGGGGAAAAATCCTGAGGGGGAAAAAATGGGACTAAAACCGAGGGGAAAAAGGGGGCAAAACCCACAAAAAGAGGGGTAAAAGGTGAGGGGAAAAGAGGGTAAAACGAGAGTAAAACTGATGGGAAAAACCTAAGAGGAAAAAAAAAGGGGGGAAAATCCTGAGGAGAAAAAAAGAAGGGGGGAAACGGGACTAAAACCGAGGGGAAAAGAGAGACAAAACCTGAGGGGGAAAAACATAAAACTCGAGAAAGAGAAAATCGGGATAAGACCTGAGAGGAATAAGGGGGCAAAACCTGATGGGAAAAGTGGGATAAAAGCTGAGGGGGCAAAAAACAAGTGGTAAAACGGGACTAAAACTGAGGGGAAAAATCCTGAGGGGGTGAAAACCCACAAAAAGAGGGGAAAAGGCTGAGGGGAGAAGAGGGTAAAACGAGAGTAAAACCGAAGGGAAAAAAACGAGAGTAAGACCCAGAGTGGGAGGAAAAGCTGAGGGGAAAAGAGAGACAAAACCTGAGGTGAAAAAACATAAAACCTGAGAAAAAAAAGGGTGGGTAAAACCGAGGAAAAAAGACGGCAAAACCTGAGGGGAAGCACCCGAGGGGAGAAGGGCAGTAAAACTGAGGGGAAACCCGAGGCAAAACAAAAGGAGAAAGATCCCAAAAGACTGAAAAGGGTCTAAAAGGAGTGGGAAAGGGATAGTTAAGGAATTAATAGCGAATAACTCGCCCGTCCTGGTCCTTCTCCACCATCTTGAGCCCCTCCAGCGCCTGCAGCACGCGGCGCGCCACGCTGCCCGAGCCGCGGCTGAAGTGACTGGGGCGGACCCCGCGGCGCTGCCGGCCCCCGTACACCGTGGCCATGGAGCCCACCCCCGCGCCGCCCCGCAGGTACAGGTGCCGCGCCGTGGAGGCTGGGGGGGAGAGATAAAAATAGATAAATACAGAGTGGAAAAAGGGGGGGGTTAAAGAAAAAGGGGGTTTTGTCTCACCCGCCCGCGTGTAGAACCAGTTCTCGTCGTAGGGAGCCAGCTCCTTGTGCTTGGCCAGTTTGACCGTGTCCGCCCACTCCGGGACCTTCAGCTTCCCCGACCTGCCGCAGAGTGAGCGACGGGAACGGGGGGGACGGGGGGACCGGGCGATAAAGGGAGCGGGGAACCGGGGGGAGAACGGGAGAATAGGGAGGGAACGGGGAAAGGGGCGGGAAGCGGGAAAGAGGGGG